TCTCGTCCTCGGCATCCTTCATTATGCGGCCCTTCCTGGATGGCATGGGCTGCTTTTACGTAGCACGGTATTTTTAAACATAAATAACGTTTTTAAAGGCTCGCCCACATCAGAGCATGAATCAGCACCTCGTTCCTTTTTACGGTCAAAAAACATTCCATTGCGTGGACAGACTACATTCTGTTTACCCAGTCATCAGTTGGCCGGGCGTTTGGATGGTCTCCAAGTTCGGGCTGTTTGGAGTATGGTGGTGTGGACGTAGGTTTCATTCCCTCCCCCCCCCCCCCCCCCCGGGGTAGATACCTAGCAGTGAAACTGCTGGGTCAGATGGTAACTCGGAATTTCACATTTGGAGGACCTGCCAGACTCTTCCAGAGCGGCTGCACCATTGGACTTTCCCGCCAGCGGTGCACGGGGGGGGGGGGGGGGGTCCAGTGTCTCCAAATTCTTGTCGGCACTTGTTATCTGCCTTCTGATTCTTGCCGTCATACTGGGTGTGAAGCGGCATCTCCTTGTGGTTGCGCGTTGCATTTTCTTGATGACTCAGGACCAGCACTTTTTCACATGCTTGTTGGCCATTCACATACCTCCTTTGGGAAAACGCCGATGCGGACCTTTTGCTCATTTTTAATGGGATGGTTTGCCTTTTTATTGTCGTGTTGAAAGCGTTCTTCATATTTTCTAAATACGATCCCTTACCCAATACGCGATTTGTGGATATTTTCCTCGTTCTCTGGGTTGTCTTTTTTACTGTCTTTTTTTTTCTTCTTAATGTTTACTTATTTTGAGAGAGAGGGCGGGGGAGGGGCAGAGTAGAGGGAGAGAGAGAGCATCCCAGGCAGGCTCCGAGCCGTCAGCACAGAGCCCGACGCGGGGCTCGAACCCACGGATGTGAGATCATGACTAAGCTGAAGTCGGACGCTCAACTGACCGAGCCGCCCAGGCGCCCCGACCCCCTTTTTCACTTTCTTGACGGTGTCCACCGAAGTCTTAATCTTTATGAAGTCTGATTTATCTTCCTTTCTTTACTGGCTTGTGCTTCGAGTTGTCCCATCTAAGTAACCATTGTCTGGCCTTTTGAAGGGCAGGGGGAGCTGGGTTTGGATGCTGGGACTTCCCATTGTTTTCTGGAGGGAGGCCTTCCTTCCTTCCTTTATATTGAGAAATCTTTTTGAGACCAAACTTCTTGCCCAGTCCCGGGGATATAGCAGTGACAAGGCACACACAGTCCCTACCTCCTAGAGCTGAGGTAAAGGGAAGAGACAAGCACGAAGTGGAGAACCAGAACAGAAGAACAACTTCATTGCAGACGTTCAGGAGAGGGAGACAGCCCAGGAGCCTGTGGCGAGGAGATCTGGCCTGACCTGGGGGCTTGGAAAGCCTTCAGGGCAGGGAATTTAGGTTTAGACTAAAAACTGGGTAAGCATGAGGCAGAAGGAGTGCAGCGGGAAAAGCATGTGCAAAGGCCCTGAGGTGGGGAGGAGCTCATGTGGTCTTGTAGGGTAGATTCCATTGGTGCACTGGGTTTCTTGGGGTGGGGAGGGGGTCCAGTCATCCTGTGGAAGCGTATGCAGCACCCCAAGACCTTTGTGCATGTGAAGGAGAGGCTCCAGAGCCTAGAGAGACCCTAATGCGTGGCAGCTGCCTCCAGGGCTCTGCTGAGGTTTCTAGGGGACACGTGGGAGCCTCCCCCAGCCTCCTCTAGACTCCAGGGTCTGCCGAAGCCTGCTTAGGCCCCCTTGTAGACACACCGGTCACTGACCTGGGGGCTGTGAGGGGAGTATGGGCGTCACAGTCCCAGATTTTCCATTCACGCGTTCACCCAGCACTCAAAAAAATATTTGTGAAGAGTTTACCCTGAGCTAGGTCCTGTGATGGGTTCCAGAGAGACAAAACCCAGTAAGTTCCAGTCCCTGCTGGACGAATGACCCCACGTCTGCTCTACAGTGTGGCACAGCCATGACAGGGGCCTGGGAGGGCTTCCTGGAGGAGGGGGCATTCTGCTGAGACATGAAGGTAAAAGTCAGGGAGGGACAGAGGGGGGCGGTGGAAAGCCCAGGAATGGTATGCAGAAGGGGTCCACAGTGAGGGGTGGGCACGTCCAATGTGAGTACCACCAGCCCTCCTGAGGTCCAGGCCCTGGCTCTGCCCACCAGGGTGGCCTGGGTGGCCCCATCCACTGGATAGAGCCAGAAAGGCCCTCAAGAGAAAGCCTCTGTCCTTCTGTTGTGCTCATCACTGGATTTGCCCAGCCCTGGGCTGGGGGCCGGGCTACCTCCTCTCTCCATTATCCCAGACGACTGGCTACCAGGGATGTATCGAGAAGAGAAAGGGCCGCGGGGGGTGGGCTTTCCTTGCTGTGTGACCCCGGGTGGGTCCTGGCCCCTCTCTGGGCCTCCCTCTGCCTTCTCCGTAGGACAGAGACAGCCCTGCCCGCCCCTCTTGAGGCTGTTGGGGGCCTCCGGGGAGGTGATGCTGGAAAGTCTGCCTGTGTGATCTCACCCGAGGACCCGAGCCCCTCCCCTGTGTCTTAGGCCTGGTCCCTCAGTGTCCGGGACCAACGCCAGCTTGGCCGGACATGAAACCAGCTCTTAAGGTTCCTCGCTTGGGATCCTGGCTGGAGTGGGGCCGGCCGCCTAGGGAAGCCCTTCTCCAGAAGGCTCCAGGGACCATGTTTCTTCTCCTTTCTCCCTCCTCCCCCCTCCCGTCTTTGCTTCCTTTCTTCCTTCGAACGTTGGCCTGACTGGGTGCCGTGCTCCCCTCCGGCCCTGTCTCCCAGGCTGGGCGGCCCGCGCACCCTTCTCTCCTGCGCTTCTCCAGCTGCTGCCTTCCGTGTCCCTCCTCCTGGTTCACCCTAAGCCCGCGGAGAGATTCTCAGAATCCCACTGCAGGAGGAACGAGGGTGCGGGCCTCTTAGGGCCGGTCCCCCCGCCACGCCAAGGTGTTTAAGAACCTGGGCCTGGTGCCCATCGGCAGGTTCAAATCCCAGCTCCGGCCTTGACGAGTCTTACGGCTTTGATGTGTCGCTGTCCCGTGTGAGCCTCAGTTGCCTCATCTGTAGAATCGTGGGCTAGGAGCCCTCGTGTAAGGCCCATAGGAGGGTTAATGAGGTCATTTCTGTTGTTCCCGGTTTTCCGGGAGGTTCCAGAGGCTGGGAGTCGCTAACAGATTTGCCCTGGCCACTCCGCCGGAGATCATTCCCCCTCCGCCACAGGGCTGTAGGCCTCTCACGTCTCACCTGAAGAGGTGACACATTTCCCCCCCTCTTGGCACCGGGGACAGCTAAGGACAGATTCCAGAGTTCCTGTCTGAGCCCCGACAAGGCAGAACCAGGGGTCTTTCAGAGGAACTCTCGTCCCTTCCAGGAGACCTGGGGGGTGGGCCCGAAGCTTTTGCAGGCCCCTCCGGGCCCTCCACCTTCTTTTCTCCACTCTTCCTCAGACTTTCCCGGCTGTAAATATTTCTGCAGCTTGGAGCTCCTTTGACCAAGGGCCGGTGTTAATTTGTTAAATCCACATCAAGGTCCTGGGGACCCGTTGTTTATTTTTGCGAACGTGTTGGCAGAGATCACATTGGGGGGGGGGGGCGGCGAGGAGAGGGGCTGCTTTTCTGGTCAGAATAAATGCTAATTAATAAAAGTTATTTATTTGGGTTGGAGCTCGCCGCGGCCCCGGGGTCAGGCACAAACTGACTATTTGAAGCAAAAACAAACAGAGGGTGTCTCTCAACAGCTTGAGGAAGGCAGAAACGAAGAGGCTGGGTTTATTTGTCTTAGGAAGAATTTGCAGTTAATTCCCTCCAGACTATTTAGACCCTTAAATTACACGGAATAAGAAAAACCATGGGTGCAGGGGAGAGAAGCCAGGACCACTCGATTATCTGGCTGAGAGCGGAGTTTTTAAATGTCTTTGGCCCGCAGTCAGCCAAATAAATGGTACGTGTGAAATAATTTAATGGCAGAAAACTGCACAAGTCATTTTTTTTTTTTTTTTTTTTTATTGTAACGTAACCGGGGGACGAAGTAATTCGGTTTTAAGGGAGAGGGAGCGTGGGCGGCGGGCCTCCCCCATCTGAATACCTTTCTCTCTCCCCCTAGAGAGAGAGAGAGGCGGTTTCAGGCTTTCTTTTTCAACCCCAGAGAAAAGCAGGACTTTTACCGAACAAAAGGAAACTTGGGGACTAGCCCGACTTGGAAAGGGGGGGGGGGGCGGGGCCAGCCATCGCTGGCCTGAGGCTTAGTGAGTATTTATTTCTTTTCCAAATGCTTCAAAGTCCCAGCGTGGAGCCCCCAGGGGGACACACGCCCACCACAATACATTTCTCAGGCGGTGACTCAGGGACTTAGGGTAACAAATATCCAGCACATCCGCTGGGAAGCAGAGGCCAGCCGGTGGGTTCGAGTCCCGGGTCACCTTCAGGACGATGCTTCAGTCGTCCTCGGCCCCCTCTCAGCCTCTCAGACCCGTCTTTCTACTGCGGGCTGGGTCGAGGAGACCCAAGGGCCGGGGAGAAAGACCCTTGGCTTCCTCATAAGCGACAATGCTAAGGGCAGCCGCCATTTATTGAGCAATTACTATGCTCTCGGCACGGAATTAAGCTCTGCTCCTCTTAGGAACTTTATGTGACTCTGGGCACGCTGTTTGTTGTCCCTTGCCGCTTCCAGAGGTGTCGTCTTCCTTCGGAACAAAAGCGGGGCCGAGGGATGTACTTCCCACAGTCTGGGATGGAGACCCAAGGGCATTTCCGCACTTAGGCCTCCTAGAGCCAGGACTGAGATTGTGACAGACCCCTGCGTCACCTTCCCTGGGAGCAAGGCGGGTGAGGGAGGAGAGGCCGAGCCTACAGCCCCGGGGCCGGCTGAGCCTCTGACAAACATGAATTCCAACCCAGAGGTGCCACCTTGGCCTCAGTTTCCCTGTGTGTGAAATGGGGTCACGCCTCCCAGGGTGGGGGTTAGGGAGCGGGTGGCCCGCTTGGCACCCCCCGTGGCCCCAAACCAGCTTTGGCTGAGCGGCCCCCGTCGGAGCGGCCTTGCTGTGACCCCGGAGAGAGCGGACCCCAGACCGGCGAGGAGCCCCGCTGGGGCTGGTGTGGCAGGTTGTCGGGGACCTGGCGACAAATGCCTTTGCATGAGGGTTCCGGCTCCAAGTCACTACTCGGTTTAAACCGGCGGCGAAAGAGCCCAGTGTCTTCCGACGCCCACTTGGCGGGGCAGAAGCTGAAGACTGGTTTTCATTTAGACACCCTCCGTTTGGGATTGCTCGGAAACTTCTCGAAAAAGTCTCCTTTTTTGGCCGAAATGCCTCCTGCGTTGGGTGTGTGCCCAATCGGCGTTGCCTGAAGGGGGACGGAAGTCGTCTCTGGGTTGGCTGGTGTTCCAGAAGCTTCTGTCCCCGCTTTCGGGGCTGTTGATCACCCCCCGGTTTTCAGCTCACGGGCCCTCGTTGTTTGGGTTTAGAGTTCCTCCCGCTCCAGGGGACAGGGATGCGGGGCAGAGACACGGTCACAGGCACCAGGCATTCTCCTCCACTTTTCCGTTTTCTGGGGGGGGCGGGGGAGGGGGGAGAAGGCTGGAGCCAGGCCAGGGGACGCGGCGGCTCCCTTGGGACCACTCGCGTTCCCTGTCGCTCCCCAGCCTGTGTCTCCTGAACGTCCCGCTGAGCCAGGGCCGTGGGCATGGTGCACGAGAAGATTTTTCGCTGTGGGGGCCTGTTCTCGTCCTGAAGGGTATTTGGCGACAGCCCCCGGCCTCCACCCGTTCAATCCCCATGGCACCTCCCGCCCCCGGTCCTCCCAATCAAACCTGTCTCCAGGCACTGTCAGATGTCCCCCGGAGGCAGAACCGCCCTCAGATGGGAACTTCTGGTCCAAACTCAGCTGTAAGGTCATCTGTGCCCGGGCATTCCCTGAGTCCTGCCTGGAGAAGACCCCCCCCTTTGCCCCCACGATCATTTACCAGTCCCGTGGACCATTTCAGCCTCAAGTCCAATCAGTGGATTGCCCCAGAGGCAATAAACCCTGCTCACGTGGGATCTTATTTGACAGCAGGGACCGAGTGGTAGCCATTGCCGGGCCTGGAATGTTCTAGATGCTCAGCACAGCCAATACCCGGCATTGTGCAGACCACACTGAATGTATGAAGGGAACGTGTCGCCGGGGAAAGCAAAAACACAAGGCGTGGACTGAACTCCCAAAGGCCGACGATACGTTCTGTTGTCCAAACTGGGCAAAACAGACCTTCGCCTACACCGCTGGTGGGAAGGCTGGTGCGGGAACCTGGCCACATCTAGGGGTTTTTTTGTTGTTGTTGTTTTTTATTGGCCCAGCGATTCCCGCTTCTAGGAATCTATCCCAAACAGGCACTGGCAAAAATAGAAAATCATGTCTTCACGAGCTTATTCATCATGGCACTCTTTCAGTTGCGGAAGATTGGAAACACGCCAGAGGCCCATCCATAGGACCCTGGTAGGATAAACCAGGGGACGGTCCCCCAGCCAAGGGCCTTGGGGCTGGGGAGAGGAATGTGAATGATTTCTGTGCCCTGGATGGAGGGATCCCTGAGATAGGTGCTAAGTGGGGAAGAGGTGAGGTGGGGGGCAGGACGTCGTAGGCGACTTTTTGATAAGAAAAATATTGTACGTATTTTATTATATTTGCAAAGAGCGATGCTCCAGCAAAAGCAAAAACGGACCTAAAAAAAATAAGTCCCTACGCGTGGAGGGAGGGAGCACGAGAGAAAATAGAGTATGCAAAACAATCCAAATAAAGAGGGCCGTGTTTGCTATATGCGAAATGGAATGTCTGGAATATTATCAAGTAAAAAACAGGCAAGTTGAAGCACCAATGTGTTCAGCACGGTCTCACGCTTGTAAGTTTTTTAAATGTACATCTGTAATCTGGTAAAGCGTGGGGAGAGGACGGTACTTTGTGTCACTTTTTTACCCCCTTCTGGTTTTCGAGTCTGTTCCCGCCACCAGCAATGACATTACTTTGTTATTACCATGTACGTTTTTAATAAGAAAATCGGATACGTAAGGAAGGGCTGAACTGGGCAGTGTCGCGGCTGGTGCCGGTGAGCGCGGGAGGGGATCCCACGTGGACCCGGGTGATCCGGAGGGCTGCCTGGAGGAGTGGGCAGTGAACTGGGCTCTTGGGGACGAAGAGTCAACAGTTCTGCCCATCGAGGTGGCAATAGTGGCTGAATACCCCCCAACCCGTCCTCTCAAAGGACAGGGTGAACCTAAAAGCTAAGAGTTGCTGACCCCGTGCGTTCCCTAAGGTTGTGCTGGGCACCCTTACCTGAGCCGCCAGTTCTGAACCAGAGGCCAGCACAGACCCTTGGTCGGCTCCTCTGCTGGGATTCACCCTCTGGCTCATTTCCACCTCCTGTGGAATCTGACTGCTTTTGTCCACTGTTATATTCCCCGTGGGCCCTAGCACTGCGCCGGTCACACAGTAGCTGCTCAGTTAATACGTGTTGAAGAATGAACGGATGGATGAATGAAGGGATGCGTGAAGGAGAGAATTCAAGGGATCTGCTCCATCCATCCGCTGGACCCTCCATCCATCCGCTGAGGGAGACACAAGGAGAGCGCCCAGCGCACGCTGCCGAGCCAGTGGGGGGGTTCGGGACCCCCTGGGCACCTCCGGGGGCGGGGCGGGGCTGCACCTGCTGACACTCGATCCCTCCGCAGGTGAGTGTCCCAGCCCCGGGCGCGGCGGCGCCGCCAAGCGGAAGAAGAAGCAGCGGCGGAACCGGACCACGTTCAACAGCAGCCAGCTACAGGCGCTGGAGCGCGTGTTCGAGCGCACGCACTACCCCGACGCCTTTGTGCGCGAGGAGCTGGCGCGGCGCGTCAACCTCAGCGAGGCGCGTGTGCAGGTGAGCGCCGCGCACGCGTGGGCGCCCGCGGGAGCGCGCAGCCCCCTCGCCCTCTGGGGGGCGCAGCTGCTGCTGCGGAGGGGCGGTAATTAAGAGCGGGAGCGTCAGAGGCCCGGAGCACCGAGGTTCGAGGCCAAGCCCTGCCACTTCCCAGCCGTGTGGCCTCGGGCAGGTTACCTAACCTCTCTGGTGCCTCCCTGTAAAATGAGGATCGCGTGGGTCTATTTCCTGGGGTTCTTATGAGAACCAAAGTAGTTGATATATTTGAGGTTAAAAAAAAATTTTTTTAAATGTTTGTTTAGTTCTGAGACAGAGACAGAGCATGAGCGGGGGAGGGGCAGGGAGAGAGGGAGACCCGGAATCCCAAGCAGGCTCCAGGCTCCGAGCCATCAGCACAGAGCCCGACGCGGGGCTCGAACTCACGGACCCCGAGATCATGACCTGAGCCGAAGTCCGCCGCTCCACCGACGGAGCCCCCCGGGCGCCCCTGGTTAATATGTTTGTAAGCGGGCTTGGAGCCGTGCCCGGCGTGGAAGGTTTGGGTGAATAAACGCCGTGTCGCAGTGTTCAGCCCTGCTCTGAGCCAAGTGCCCCTCTCTAGTTGCAGCCTTACCACGGCGAAGCGCTCATTTTTGCATCCTTTTCTCCAGCACACGCTTACCCAGCAGCCTTAGCGTCCCCATCTTCCGGATGAGGAAGCTGAGGCTCCGTGGGGCCGCCCGTCCAGAGCTGGTGGCAGAGCGGGCCCGCACCGCCGTCCCAAAGGACTTGGGGTCCCCCCTTGCGGCCTGCTGCGCCCCGTTCAGCACGCCTTCCCGCCCCCAGGTCTGGTTTCAGAACCGCCGGGCCAAGTTCCGCCGAAACGAGAGGGCCATGCTGGCCAACCGCTCCGCCTCGCTGCTCAAGTCCTACAGCCAGGAGGCCGCCATCGAGCAGCCCGTGGTTCCCCGGCCCGCCACCCTGAGCCCCGATTATCTTTCCTGGACGGCCTCGTCCCCCTACAGGTGAGAGCAGGAACCCCTTCTGGCGGGAGGGGGAGCAGCCTGGGCGACCCGTGCGGCCTCGTAGGGCCCGGGGCTCCTTTGAGCATCTCAAGACAGCTGTGCATGGTGCCCAGGCGCCCCTGAAGCCTGGGCCTTCCGTGTGGGGACACGTGTGCGCGGGCGCTCATGAGTGGATGCGCGTGGGTGTTCCACGAGCACGCGTGTGGCTGTGTTTCGCGAGTACGTGTGCGCGTGCGTTTCCGCATCGGTATGTGCACATGGTTGTGCGTGCGTCTGTGCGTGCAAACACGTGCGCCCAAATGTGCACGCGCGATTGTGCGCGTGACTGTGCATGAATGTAGGGGCGAGAAGATGAGGCCTGTCTGGAGGGGGCGGGGAAGGACCCATCAGGCCACCCTGAGGAAGTTGAAAACCTGGAGGAAGATTTCCGGGTTGGCAAGAAAGCCCCAGCACCCTGTGTCGATCTCCCTGGGAGGGCAGGGAGGGCTGAGGGCACGGCTCCCCTGTCCCAGGGACCTGGCTGGGGTCCAGAGCCACGTTCTGGGGCAGTTTTGTCCTGATCAAAGCTGGAAAAAGGCGGCAGGGCCGGAAGGAAGAGGGAAGGGGTGTCATTTTTCTGTGCCCACAACTCCAGGGGGTGACACCTGTCCCTTAGTCTGTGTGAGTCACTCTGCTGGAGCCCTGGTCTTGTGGGAGGCAAGATCCGGGGGGTCGGCTCGTGGGGTCAGAGTCCTCGTGATCCCATGTTGGCCAGCTCTCCTGCCCTGTCCTTACCCGGAGCGGAAGCGCCACCAAGAGGTGGTTTACCGTGTCTCCATCCTGCTGTGCACCAGGCCCAGTGCAGGTGCTGGGGGGGGGGGACGGGACCCAGGACCTGCTCTCCGGAGGCTCCTGATCCAGGGAGGGACGCCTACAGATCCACAGGAGCTGCCTGTGTCCCCGTGCTGTCTGTGGGCATTTCTGACTCCCCCCCAAATTCTGCAGCCCCGGTCATGCCCATCCCGTGGCGGGGAGGGCTTCCCGGGAACGTAAACCGAGGAAGGGAGGCGGGGGGACCAGAGGCTGGGGTCCAGGGCTGGCAGCCAGAAGTGGTCGGCTTCGGGCATCATGTCCGCCACAGCCCCATGTCCTGGTATCTTCTGTCGCCCCCAGCACGGTGCCGCCCTACAGCCCTGGAGGCTCCGGCCCTGCGACCCCGGGAGTCAACATGGCCAACAGCATCGCCAGCCTCCGTCTCAAGGCCAAGGAGTTCAGCCTGCACCACAGCCAGGTGCCCACGGTGAACTGATGGTCGGCCTGCCAGGACCCAGCTGCCCGCCTGGTCTCACAACGCCAGAGAGGGCAGACATGCAGGAGAGTGCCCTCCTCACGTCCCCTGTCTCCAGGACAGGGATCTCCTGGGCCCTCTCTCCAGTCTGGACTCCCGGTCCCAAGAGGCTGCTGAGATCCCGGGAGCCTGGCTCAGGCCCCCGTCTACAGCCGTGGGAGACTTTGGCCCATGACCTTTGGGGGGGGCGGTTGGGCCAGAGGTGGAGCAGGAACCCCACAAGGACTGCATTTATTTTGTGTATTAAAACCAAAAAGCTTTTGTCTTTAAGAAATAAAAAAAAAAATTTTTTTTTTAAGCCCCAAAAAGGTTGAGGGAGGGCGGGCGGACAAGGGCAGCAATGTAATTGAGGGGTGGCCTTCTGGGGCCCTGCTCTGGCCTGCAGCCGTCGTGGGGCCGGCCCTGGGCCATGCTCGGACCAGCAGCCATGGCAGGACCAGATGCCCTCATGTCCCAGCCTTCTTCTGCACGAAGCTCTCCATCACCCTGCAGAGCCCCAGGGCTGGGGAGTGGGGGAGGAAATCAAGAGACCGGCCCTGGACCCCGTGACACCCAGGCATCTGGGAGAAAGCCCTGCTGTGTGACACTGGGCGGGATCCCTTCCCTGTCTGGGCAGGGAGTATCCCCTCTGCCCTATGGTGGGGGGCAGGGTAGGTGACCGTGGATTCCTGGGCTGACCTGACAGTGTGTGAGGCAGGTGCTAGAAATTCAATTCCTTATCTCTGGGGCTTGCAGGACGTATGGGACCTTCCTGGGCATTTGACTGTAGAGCGGCTGAGACAAACGCCCCAGACATGGTGCAGAGTGGAGGTCCCAGGTGGCCCCCCGGGACGGAGGAGTGGTCCCAATAGCCAAGGACACCAGAGGACCTTATCCAAGTCCGCCTGCCTTTTTGCAGACGATAAGGGTCACAGAGGACACACGTGCCACCAGCCAATGACGTCACTTGTAAGGGAGTCTGCGGGAAGCCCGGGCCCCTTCCGCCTGGCCCCGTACCACTCTTTCTGTGGGGCGCACCCTCCAGGGAAGTTCAGAGTCATTTCTGCTGAGGGGGCCCTCAGTCAGCCCCCAAGTAAGTAGGACAGCGCTCCCCGACCCCCAGAGGGCACGAAGGCGACCAGTCCCTCCTGGCGATGGCCCTCGCGGTGACACGGCGGTCACACCCCATGGGGTAGATCAGCTGACCTCTTGTCCCGTAGTCTGCCCTGCCCGTGCAGCCAAGTGCCCCAAAGCATCCGTGTTCCCGCCCATCAGCTGCACACCCCTGATGACCCCAAACGGGTCAAAGCCTCAGGGACAAACAATCCTTGTGTCGGGGACGATCCCCATTTGTGGCTTGGGAGGTATGGTAATCATACCTGCGAGTCAGACGAGGACCCCTCCCCACCCATCAGCTGGAATTTCGCCATGAAAACGGGGTTCTCGAGCACTGAGCTGCTTGCCTCCTTCGGACGCGCAGACGAGCCCCAGGACGCTCCCCGTGTGACTGCCTTGCGGCTGGACAGTTGGGACTCCGTCCGCAGGAGAGCGTGGGGCACCGTTGAGGGTGAGGGAGGCACGGGCTCCGGCTGACGGCGTGGGGAGGGGGCGTCCTGCGGATGTCTTGAGGGGGCTCGGGCTCACCCTGACTGCGAGGGCCAGAGCGGGGGAGACACCTGTGCCCTGGACTGTCGTCTTACTCCGTGTGGCCTCTGCCTCGGGTAAGTGGCTCCTGGGCCTCCATTTGCCACCCATTCACTGAACAAGCATGACACGCTGTGTGAGGAGAGAGCAGAGAACTGACGCAGGGTCCCTCGGGGCAGAGGCCACCCCAGGCCCGGGGAGCCCCAAACTTAGTCTCAGACATCTGGGCAGCCTTCCCGGAAGCGGTGTCCTGCAAGGACGAAGAGTTTGCCAGGCCAAGGCGGGGGTGGGGGTGGGGGTGGGGAGGGGAACAGTGTTTCTAGCTAAGGGAACAGCGTGTGTGAAGGCCCCGGGACGAGCCAAAAGCTGTCTCTCGGGGCCGGCGGGGCCAGTTCCCGGGCTGGATCTCCTGACAGGATGAAGGTGGAGAGGAGCAGAGGCTGACTTAAGTGGAGCCCGTGGGGCCAGATGGAGAATTCTGGATGTCATCCTGGCGGTGGGGAGCCGTGGTGGAGGGACACGCCCCCCGGGGTTCCGTGTGGAGGAGTGGCCCCAGGGCTAAGAGTGGAGGCAGAGTGACCCCTGCGGGGGCCAGGGCAGATGCTGGATGGACAGGAGCCCGGACCGGATGGGGACAGAGCGGGCAGATCTGGGAGGTGTCCCGGACACAGCAGGGCAGGGGTTAATGACCAGATGACGGGCTGAGGGGGACGGCCAGGTGGCCAGGATGTGGCTCAGGCACGCGGACGTGCCTGGGAGAAAGAGATTCTGGAAGCAGGGCCTGCCTGGCAGAGGTGTCGGGAAGACGCTGGCCTGCCCTTCTACCCACACGAGAGCTGGGCCGTCCTTTTGCAAGCAGGGAGTGGCGCCCTCCCTCGTGAGGAGCTGACCGTGTCCCCCACCCCCGACACCCCCAGGAATCTGCACGAGTGAAGGGCTGGCCCGCGGGGTCCAGAGCGGTGCCCTCGCCACTGGATGGAGGCCCATCGGTTTATTTCTCATCCAAAGGGAGGGTCTCACGAAGCATCGCCAGGTCGGGGCTGCCTGCGGCGGAGATGGGGGTCACACTGGGCGGAGGGCTCCGGTTGGGGGGTGGGGGGAAGGCGGGTCCCAACAACACCCGCTGCAGAAAAAAGCTGGGGGCCCGTTTCCCACGGAGGCGCTGGCCCTGCCGTTGGGCCACCAGGATTTCGGTGTCACTTCCTCCCAAGCACGCTAGAGAAAACAAACCGTCTTAATCGTTTTCATATGCTGCTCCGGGAGCTGAGGAAGGGGAGCACAGCAG